GCATCTCTCTATATTTTTATTTTTTAAAATATTACAAAGAGATCCCTGTCTGTGGATTTGCTGTAGCTGAACTTTGCATCCTTAAAGTTGACAAGTACTCATTAGCAAATTAGAATCTTTGACTAGGGTTGAGAAATAAATTAAAAAAAAAAAAAAAAAATAGAAACATCCAAGTTTTGAAAAATATCTGCAAATTCAAATAATTCATGAGATTAACAAAATAATTACAGCTAAAATTTAACAAGTGCTTATTATGTGTTGAGCCCTATTTTAGTATTTAACATGTAGTTTCTCATTTATTCCTCAGAACAATTCTACTCAGCAGCTAAAATTAAAAAGCCAGGTTATATAGGAGGGAACTGAGATATTGAGAGGCTAAGTGACTTGGTAAGGTCAACCAATTGGTGAGTAGTGACTAATGAATCCTGTTCTCTATTCCAGGTGAATCTAGGATACCATATTTTTAAACCCTTACACTTTATACTCACATGATATTTAATGAGACAAAAATTAGAAAAACTAAGGGAATTCAAATTACGATTATTATCAAATTAACTTCTTATCTTTGTTGGAGCTTATTTTCAAAGTCACATTCTTACACAAGACATTCAAAACCAAACCTTATTTCCTTTATTTTTTAAAACTTAATGAAACTTCAAACATATTTATAAGAAGAGAGAATAATCTAACAAATACCTGCATATCCCTCCCCTATATTTAACAAAGATTAACTTTGGGCACACTGGCAAATTGCTGACGTACTCTTCCTTGACCCTATTTCTTTCCCTCCCTCACACTAGAGTCAACTAATATTCTGAAATTAGTGCATATCCAATCCATTGATGTTTTTATACTTTTGCTACATGTGTATGTATCCCTGAGCAATATATTGTTTTGAGCATTTAAAACCTTTCCCTAATATTATCACACTGTTTGCTATTTTGCAATCTGCTTTTTTCATTTTACATTGTATATTTTTGAGATGTACCCATGCTGATAAAGGCATATCTACTTTTAAATACTCTATGGTATTCCACTGTGTGAATGAATAACTTATTTATCTATATTCTAATGGTATTCCACTGTGTGAATGAATAACTTATTTGTCTATATTCTAGCTATTTATTGTAAAATCTTTGAAGTTTGATGGGTGGGGAAGGTATCTGACTTTTGCTGTAATTTGCCTTTTCTTGATAACAAGTGAAGTCTAACATTTTTTACACTTACCGGATTTCCTACTGTACAAAACGTCTTTAACCTTTCTCATTTTTTTCAATCAAGTTTGAAAAAGTCTGTTTTAACATTATAGTGCCTCTTTGGCAATAGATTCAAAATTTAATGTAGCAAATTCATTAATTTTTAATCCTTTTGTTATTTTTGTACTTTTGTACAAAGCAAAAAATTATTCCCAACACAGTTGTCATACAGATTTCCCCTTACATTTACTTCTATCATGTTTTAGAAACATATTGCTTTTTTTCATTTCCCTTCCTTTCCCCATTTCTTTTTTCCCTTCCTCTCTTTTCTCTCTATCTTTTTTTTTTTTTCCCTTTTTGTCTTTTTCCGTGACGGTAACGGGATCGCAACCCTCGGTGTCGCGCCCGTACCGCGACCAGCAATGGGATCGCAACCCTCGGTGTCGCGCCCGTACCGCGACCAGCAATGGGATCGCAACCCTCGGTGTTGCGCCCGTACCACAACCGGCAATAGGATCGCAACCCTTGGTGTCGCGCCCGCACTGTGCTCAACCAGTGAGCGGACCAGTCTCTATATGGGATCCGAAACCTCGGCGGGAGCGCCACCGCGCTCCCAAGCGCCACACTCTACCGAGTGCGCCACCGGGTCAGCCCTTCTCTCTATCTTTTAAACATTTTAGTTTTATGAGTTATTGAAAACATCCATATAAGTAGAGAGCAATAAACTAACATACACTCATGTAGCTATAATAGTCACCCCCTCATGGATACTCTTACTTCATTCATCTACACCCCGCTTCTATTCTACTCCTACTCCAAGATTATTTTAAAGCAAATTCCAGATGATCTGTCATTTCATCCATAAATATTGCAGTATATTTAAAATGTAAGGACTTTCTCTCCAAAATAACCACAATATCCTGTCAGTGTTCAAATCTCCCTAATTACATCTCCTTTTTTGCAGTTGGTATGTTTTCATTGCATCCAAGCAAGGCCTAAACACTGTATTTGACTGAAAGGATCTTTAAGTCTCTTCAGTATCTCCTCCCCATCCCCTTCAATGTATTTGTCGAATAAACTGGGTGTTTGTCCTGTAAAGCTCTCCACGTACTGGGATCTGCAGATTGCAAGTCCACTGAATCACTTAATATGTTCCTTGGTCATTGGATTTCCTACACAATAACAGATCTGGAGGCTTGATCTACTTTAGAATTGATTTTTGTGGCCAAGAATATTTTATAGGTGGTATTATATATGAGGGTACTTCAAAAAGTTTATGGAAAGATTTGTATTTCTTTTAATTCTGTTTTCCATGAACTTTTTGAAGTATCCTCATATTTTTACTATGAGGTATATAATTTCTAGTTCTTCCTGGAACTGAGGAATGAATACTTATTTACCTAAGAAAATATTTTCATGTAAAGAAAGATTTCAAAAAGCTCATTCATTGTCTTAATATCCTTCTATTAAATATACTTAGAAGACAAGTATGATAAGAGCCACAAAATAAAAATTATAGATTGTTGAAAGATAATATTAAGTTAAAGAAATAAAGATTTTAAGTAATTGGAAAACCATGTAAGCATTTTATCAGGTCAACTAAATACCTGCCTGAGTTTGATAAATAAGACCTTATTCTACATTCAACCACATATATTATCCACTCATGATTTAATTCAATCATAATTTGATGTCATTTTGATAAAATTACTTGTTTAAATAACTTCTTACTAATGGCCAACAGATAACATGAAAAAATGCTCAACGTCACTAGTCATCAGGGAAATGCAAATTAAAACTACACTGAGATACCAGCTCACCCCAGTTAGACTGGCTTTAATAAAAAAGATGGTGAATAAAAAATGCTGGCGAGGGTACAGAGAAGGGAATGCTCTTACACTGTTGGTGGGACTGTAAATTAGTACAACCACTATGGAAAACAGTATGGAGGTTTCTCAAACAACTATAGATAGATCTTCCATACGATCCTGCAATCCCACTTCTGGGTATATACCCGGAAGAATGGAAATCATCATGTCGAAAGGATACCTGCACTCCGATGTTCACTGCAGCTCTGTTTACAATAGCCAAGACATGGAACCAACCTAAATGTCCATGACTGGATGAGGAAAATGTGGTAAATATACACGATGGAATACTACTCTGCCATAAGAAAGAATGAAATACTCCCACTTGCAACAATATGGATGAGCTTGGAGAAACTTATGTTGAGTGAAATAAGCAAAGCACAGAAGGATAAATACTGCATGTGCTAAATCATACGTGGGAGCTAAGAGAAAAAGAAGGAAGGAAAGTCCACAGTGGTGTGCTGGACGTGCAGAGGGAGGGAACATTTTTTGGGCTATGAAGTGGAATGGGTGGGAGAGGGGGAGGGAATCTGGGGCTAATTGGGTGGGGGACATGGGGTATAAATGCTATTTGTGGTAATGGGCATGCTGCCAGTATGAATCTGGCCCTCACATCTTGAGCCTGAGGGGTAACGATCAGCTCTGTACCTCATGAATATTCATAACCAATAAAATAAACAACTTGTTACTACTCTAAATGGAAGATATACATTTGAAAAGTTATTTTATTATTTTAATATCAAATTTGACTGTCAAAAGGTCTCTATTTACAAAAACATTGATTAGAATATATTTTTTAAACTTTGCCTTACCATGTTACAGAGTCCTTCATGAACTGTACAATCTAGAGTACCAAATTTAAGCTGGCCATAAAGAAGATTTGAGGCTCTTCGTAACTCTGGCAGTAAAGCTCGACATGGTGGACACCACTAAGAAAAAAAAAAATCATAAGCACTGAGACAAATGAAATCATGAGACAAAAGAAATAAAAAAACCTGTCATTTTTGCAACCAGCAATATGCTAAGTAAGACAAACTACACTTAGTGTCATGTCTTCTGGGTACGTACTTAATCCTTAGAGGGGTTAACATTAATGTTCACTTAGAAATGATATGTGATAGTGGACAGAACTGAGTGACACATTTCTACTACAACGGTTTGAGGTTATCTAGAAAACGTCTTTTTGCCATGTCAAGATAAGAATATGACTATATTGAAATTTGACAGATAAAAATAACTTACAGGGGCAAAGAAATCAACAAGCCATGGTTCTTTGTCACTGGCAGGAAAATTTTGAGGTCCAAGTGTGGTGACATGAGAATTAACACTTTCTTTGGCAAAGGCAAGTATATCATATAGAATCTTCTTTCCTTTGAAATTGAATAAGAGAAAAATTAAAATCCACATTCTACCTTTTATATCCATATAAACATTTCAAAGTTTTTATACTCAAAATATTAAAGAAATGAAGATGAACTTATGAACAAACTGATTTTTGTGAGGTTTTGGGGTTCTGAATCACTATACTTGGGTTTGCTCTTCCAGGAATGCTTCTTCCTTGCACACACTCCTGTGTCTTGGACTAGTTAAACTCAAAACCTCTTTCAAATGTTCTTTTGTCCTCACAGGTAGGATAGTAAGTTCTTTTTAGTGTTCTTTAAATTCTTTAGGCTTATTTCAGCTATCACTATGGCCCATATTTGTTTCTTTAACCTAGACCTCTCTTATGAATTCAACTCTCCGGTGGAAAAAGGTATTTGGACATCACATAAACATTTCAAACACAATATATCCAAATTGAAGCTGAGTTATTTTCCCCCAAATTTGCTCCTTTTCTCAACTTCTATATCTTGGCAATGGCAAAATCATCCACTAGGTGCTTGAATAAAATTGCCCAGAGTTATCTTTGCCTTCTTTCTCTGCCCTCCTATCATAACTCTATCCATTCTCTCTTACCGTCTCCAGACCCTCTGCTACTGCCTGAATTCAATGCGGCTTATTGTGATAACCTAGCTGGTATTTCTGTCCCCAGCCTTCCTTAACTAATCTAATTTCTACATTGCTACCACAGTCAAATTACAAAAACATTAATCTGGTCATTTTGTCCATTTGCTAAATGCCATTCACAATTTGCCACTGCTGAAATAATATACTTCTTGGCTTGGCAAATACCATCTTTCTCAACCACAGCCTAGTTCATTTTCCCAAGTGCCCTCTGACTTATTCACTCAATAGTTAAAATTAAGTGCCTATTATGTGTCAGACCCTGTAGGACATGCAAACATAAAAAAAGATATAGTTCCTCTCCTCAAGAAGCTCATAGCCCAGTTGAAGAGAGGGAGATTTTGTCACAAATATTTAATTATAAGAGGGATAAATGACACCACATTCTCTTTTTTCTTACTCTTTAGCTGCTATTTCTTTTTTTTTCCTTTTTTTTTTGTCTTTTTTCG